GCTTCATCAGGTACAAAATATTTTGTTGTTAAATATGAAAGTGTGAAAACAATTTCAAAAGAGTGCTAGAAGCACTGTGCAGTGGACACCGCGAGGCGAGTCATCCGTTACATCTCTGTGAGAGGCGCACGGTGATCGGAAGTGGCCTTTGATGTCAGTAGGAGAGCAAAATGTGAAAAGGAACGTTTTTTTTTCTCATCGGCTGCTGGGGCTTCGCTTGAAGGCCAATAACTTGTGTTCCCGTGTGCCAATTTCAATAACTTTTTTTTCCCATTCATCTCAGCATTAGGCACTGCACTAACTCTAGCGGTGCAGAATGCAGGCAAAAAAGCGTCGTAGGGCCCCTTCAAACATACACTAAACTGAAACACTATATCAGTTTACCAAGAGGAACTAAAGCAAATTATCGATGATCTTTCCCATAATATGTTAATCCCTTGAGGAGACAATTAAGAACAAAGTTTGTTAATGTGATTGTGATATCACAAAATTTAATTTTTTTTTTTTACATTGGCATACCATGTGCTCAAGCTGTTATGTCCCTGGCTCCCTTGGAACACTATGTATAATTATAGTTTTTGCTGGTAAAAGATTGTGTGAATCCTTGGGATGCATATAAAAATTACATATATTTATGCATCATCACGGCATGTTTTTCGGAAACCTCAAGAGTAGGTTATAACCTGCATTTGCTTTTTGTGTGTTTTCTAGCTTAGCAAATACATTTTTGTGGTAAGATTGGTGCTTTTGTATTGTGAAAAGAGTAGTATTCACTAATGAGAAAAACAGTCATTCTCTTTATGGCCCTTTACATCCATGAGAACAATTGTTGGTTGTTTGTCTTCTTCTGGATTATAACGAGCTGTACTGTTCATTGAGATGTTTGTACCAAACAATTTGTACACTTAAATAGCTAATGACAGACCATTTCACAGTGGTGCATCTGTTAATAATAATAATATTACTAGTATGCATCCAAATCTAAGCACATGGGCCTACAGCATTTTCGCCTCCATCGAAAATGCAGTCGCCACAGCTGGCATTCGATCCCGTGACCAGCGGGTCAGCAGCCAAGTACCTTAGTCAATAACCACCGCAGGGGTTCATCTGTTGCATCTTACCTTTACAATTTAATCCACTCACATATCAAGTTTGAATTCATTTTAACTTCCAATATTATCATATGATGCATTAAAGATATGCTTTTACATGTAACAGTGAGAAGATGCCACGCATACTTTTGTGAAACGAAGTGATTCACAGTTTTATACAAGTATAAAAATCAAGAAACGTGCCTTATGATTGAAGTTTCCCACATCAACATTAATGACTGTGTGTGCATTAAAGAGCCTTTGATCTCCTCGCATAAAAATTAAATGTCATGCATAAGCAGTTATTTCCCAACCACACATTCCAGACTGATGATTGGTGCTTCCATTCCTGGGCATGCACAGGAAAGTCTCATGCCAATCTCCTTTCCTGCCCCAGTTTGACCATACAGACTACAGATGGTACTTGTATTGTTTCTCTCCCTTTGCCTCTATGTCTGCAGGCATAACCACAAACAACTGCCATATACTAGTGAAGCAAAAAACTTAAGGCTGTTTGTTATGAGAAAGAAGAGTGTCATGCTATTTCAAGAAGATGAAAGACCTCCTGGTTTTATACATCCATTCCTAGTGGGAATAATAATTTATGTGCACAATATGGCTTTCGATAAACAAATAGAGATATTCCTTCCTTTTACAAACTCAAGAGAATGTGAAAATTTGCCATATCTGACTACTACTCCACAATCATCACCATCCCACTACGCCATCTCACATGAACAAAAACACACAACTGTACAACTTGGCAAGGACAGAAAGCCAGGTATATTGAAAAAGATGGAAAGAATAGATGCATATTATGCAAAACAATAGAAAACCATTGTTTCTTCGCCCCAGGTAGGCAGCTCTCTCTCTCTTTAGAAATCGAGTGACTAATGCTGCAGCTCGTGTACAGTCAAGAAGAGCTTGCTAATTCTCTAGGTTTAGAGCCGTTGATACTTATTGCCACCCAGTTTTTTTTTTTTCAATGCCTTATAGATTTTGAAAGTTTACCTTCAGTGTTTTTCTTGCAGTGTGGGCCCATCAACACCATGTGTTGGAGAGTATCCAGTACATCACAGAATAAATTTAGGTATAACAATTTTGAGGCGCAAAACTAGTGCACGATAACTACATGAATGCATTCACTTACAGTCTGCAGACAGTAGTGGCTTCTTCTTTGCTCAATTTTGGATGTATATGAGTGGGCAGTCTCTTCTTTCCAATAGGAAGTACCACTATACTTTTGAATAGTTGATGAGAATGTCCTCTGAGCATAAGTGTGAAGCGAATTCGAAGATTTAAGTGTGAGTGTGAATCAAACCTAACATTTTTAGAATACTTTGAGAATATTTTTCAAATACTCTGAAGTGAAATTGCAGGAAAAAATAGTTAAAGAGGATTCCTCAGCATATTCTTATAAGATATCAACACGAAAGTTTTCATTCGGCTCGGTTGATGAAGCCTGGCAGGATGGTGTTTCATGGTTGTCTCATCAAAAATTAGGCAAATGCAGAAACCAAATAGTCTTTATGTACATGTCTTGATGCAAGCAAAGTGTCGCCGATAGCATTTCAAATATGAAAGGCAAAGATGCTATTTCCTGAGCCTCTCCTTCTCTTTAAACTTCTGTGGAAGCCTTATTCATGTGGTGGACAAGAGTGTGCTGCCTTAAAGTTCGGAGTTCGTAATATGCCTAATAGACATCCATATATAAGAACATATCTAACAATTTGATTGCTAAAAATATTCAGCATCTGATTTTTTTAAACTTTTTGCCCAAATTTCTGGTCCAGAACAGCATTAACTGTGCCCCCACTTCTTTCAAATCAATCATCTGTGTTGGTACCACCTTGAATAGAGCCAGTGTTTTCTTGAGTGAGAACATTTCTAAATTAAACTTCTGTGGAAGCCTTATTCATGTGGTGGACAAGAGTGTGCTGCCTTAAAGTTCGGAGTTCGTAATATGCCTAATAGACATCCATATATAAGAACATATCTAACAATTTGATTGCTAAAAATATTCAGCATCTGATTTTTTTAAACTTTTTGCCCAAATTTCTGGTCCAGAACAGCATTAACTGTGCCCCCACTTCTTTCAAATCAATCATCTGTGTTGGTACCACCTTGAATAGAGCCAGTGTTTTCTTGAGTGAGAACATTTCTAAATGTAGCAAATCCTGAAAGACAGCTTTGCTGCTAAACCTGTTGGGGTGAAGCATATTCAAATTTTGAAGAGACCACTGTAAATTGTACGTTGACTGTATTTGCCTTCGAGCAGTTTAAATAGCTTGAATAGCAAAATTCTAGCGAAAAATCGTGTCGAATAGCAAACACTATCAAAAAAATATTTGAAATTTCTATTATTCGCACAACCCTAGTTTAAAGACAAATTGGCTCAATGTGTTGCTTGCTACTCATGGGTACACAATCTGTGACTTTGCCATTTCTCATTTTGCATATCAATGTATTATGCATGACAGCGTAGTTGTTGGCATGATGCATTATATCAAATGCGACACCCGTATTAGGTGATGTTCAATACCTTCAGTGTTTCAACTGCTTATTACTGATTTGAAGTGCATGATTATGTTTATGTGATGCTGTAAAGGTCCTACATTTCCTATGTTCTTGTTTCTGTGACCCCCTATTTCTTGCATTTCAGAAGTGTATTGTAATTTTTTTTCATATCTGCACCACTAGCTGTTTCCAGGAGAAGGAAGATGGCTAGTCAGTTAGTTTTCTACAGCTTATCTAGCCCTCCTCTATCAACAATATAAATCAGTGATGCAAATAAAATCAGTTATTAACGTTTATTGTTATTTCTTTTGTCTCAAGTTCCCTCATAGTATCCTTACCCATCCTAATCTGCTCAATCGTCATTTTTTTTTAAATGTGTGTAAGGTCTTCAGATTGCATAAACCTTTCATGTTCCTGCCTGCCACAGCCATCACTGAAACATCCACAGAATACAAAAAGGTTATAATGCCTATTTTCTCTATATCAAAATATTTCATTACTCATAGTCTTGACTTTTCCTGTTGTTATGTTGTTACACTTTTCCCTTTTTATGTTGTTACAACATGGTTTCGCACATTTTTGAAATCATTTTATCCTTCGTTGTTTTGCAAGGTTATCATGAGTTTTGTTGCACGTGTTCCTATCATTGTGCTTTGATGTTGCTTGTGTTTGCTTTTTGATATCTTGCAACGTATTTGCATTTTTTTTGTATTCTCCTTTGTTACTCATAATCCCTTATAGATGTTCATTTTTTTTATTGTTTTTTTTAAATATGCATTTTCCAAGGTGCCAGACCTTAGAATTGCTACTGAATTCTCGATTGATTGATTGATTGATCACACCCATTTTTACTACACTCTGGTTAAATTTAGTTGATGTTTTTTGTTAGACAAGTGCACAGAGAATGCTAAGAAACTGAGAAAGAAATCAAGAAAAAAATCAGGGAGGTCGTCATACAAAAATCCCGACTATTATTATGTACTGAAAACTGGGACAACCCGGTGAGAATGAGGAAAGGTGCGAGCACGAAAGCTTGCATGCAGGACGATGCAGGTCAGTATAAATAATCACTGATCAAGGCCAGTATTAATAATCACAACTGCATTAGCAACTGCATATTCAACAACTGCTATCCAACAACAACTGCATATCCGAGCATATGGCTGCACTTTCCTTAGATATTGTGAAGAGTCCTCAAGACATTGGCATTCCATTATAATAACTGACAGCATTACACGACAGCATTACATGGCAGCAGTGCATCAAGTGACGCACTTTAAATCAGAACACGTGGGGAATGTGAACGTGCCATAGGTGAGTTTAACAAAATCTTTTAGGACGTGCAGCCTCAGCCGCAAGAACTAGGCTAATAGTAAAAATTACAAAACTCACGACATGCGCTTGGGGTCAACCTTGATGCTTTTGGCATAAATGCAGAGGACGCTACAGAACATGACTGTCATCTCCTGTACACTCAGAGCTGCATCCGGGACAGCAACTTTCTTGGAGAGTGGCCAGGGAAGTGAGGCCTTGCCACTTGACCGGGGCTGTGGGTTATATGTAACACTGAAAACACTGTTTCTTGTAAATTTTTGGTACATGCAGAAGGGCTAAAAGAATGGTATACTATGTGCCTCTCATGTGAAAAAATGAGCAAAAGAACATAAAGAAGAATTTCTGTAAAGGAAACAATTATGATAATATTAAGCCATCAGTATTCAACATTCCGAGAATGCACACTGCATTAAGGAGAATTCCATTGTACAGAAGTACAGATAAAATATGTATGATTACTTGGCTGTTTTTTTAAATTTGCATCCAAATTTAAGTACAAGAGCACTATTACATTCACCCCACTTAATAATGATTGCATCAACTTCTTGCTCAGCAACTCCATTAGCCACCACTACGTATACTGTGAAAGAAATAGCTATGCCTGGGGCTACTAACACTTAACATTGCGTTTTACACTTGTCTGAACCCGCAGATGAATGCACTTGCTATAACATGTTATAAATTATGCAGATTACTTCATATGCCAGCTCAAATTAATGTGTAGAATCACCAGAGTCAGCCATATCATTATCAGTCGAGAGCACATCTTCAAACTCAAGCTATCTGATGCTACCCTACAGCTGGTCCTTCAGTTGGTTCAAGGTGCTATGGCTGATGCCTGCAGTTGCTTACTCAGTGGTTTAAATGGCTTCAAGGAAGTTTGAGTTTGCAAAGCTACAGTTCTTACGGTTCTATCAGCCATGTACACTGTACGCAAGGTCCTGCTGAGAAACAATTCAACAAACTAGTAGACAGAAATGTGTACCATATTTTTTCAAAAGAAAGCACAAACTGATTCCCTTTCCATAGACCTGTGCCTTTATCTTTCAGTAAAACATGTAGACATGGGATCGTTGGTACATACTTCACAAAACAGAAAAAAAACAGTCTTTGATACTGTAGACATTATTATGTTTTATGAAGCCTCTATCCTTAAAGCCCAAAATAATTGCTCTATTAGAATACATTTGCTTCAACTCTCCACATGTCTGTTGGTTTTCCTAAAGCCCTTCCCGGGTAGAGGGAGTCTTTCTCTAGAGAACACAGGCTCGAGTAGCCATGTTGCCTTTCATGAAGTCCTTCCCGAGTAGGGGGAGTCTTTCTCTAGAGAACACAGGCTCGGGTAGCCTTTATATATTCTGCCACTTAGGGTCCAAGACTTACAGAACTTAGAGCTGTTCACAGTGTACTGTTTCAGCAAGTATGGCAGTCATTTAGCATCAGTTGAGTCTCTGCTCAAGAATGAGGGCTACTCAACAGAGCACCGTTAGTGCTGCCAAGCTACAAACAGATCAAACAGACTGCTCTATAGGCACTGGCTCATGGGCAATAAGTTTGAAAGTCACTACAGTAATATTTACACGAAGAAGGCTTCAGTGCTTTTATACAAATAAATGCTACAAGTCAAGTAGCTAGAAATTAAACAATAATTTCTTGCAAAACAATGTGGAATAAAGGGCTGTTCTTTTTCACAGAAGCAATGAAAAAAAGAAAAGAAGAAAGAGCTGTTGCCATAAACAACAGATAAAACCTCAAATCCTGTAATAATTATTAGCTTGTCCTCTCTCGTGATGTCATCGTTCCATGATGTCATCATATTCACAATAAAATTGAAAATTTACGTAATTTTTATGTCTGTCCTTCAACCCTATGCAGTCATAAAAGCTGAAAAAGGTTTCAAAATCAATAAAATTTATAGAACTTCAATGCACAAGATGAACATAAAAAATTCAGATATTTGAGCAATGCATGATAATTAGGTACTGCCAGTACTAAAAATTGCCTTGTTATGTTAAAAGGGTTTTGCAGCACCATTATAAGGCCCATATCAACCTCAGCTTTACCTCATGTTTTCTTCTAGTTTCTCTACACACTATGTGCATTACCAAGGCTCAAGAATGTTAACAGGGTAAAAGATAACTACAAGAGTGGTTTGTGAATACCAGCCTACTTTGTTAATGAAACACTCCAAAGGCACAAATCTCATAAAGAAAATGCCAGATAAATAAAAGGTTGGCTTGTGAATGCTGGTCTAAGGTATCACAGAATGATCTTACTAATAGACTCTGTAGCCTAATGAGTCTCCTGCTACAAAATTATCCGAAGACAAAAATGCACCATTCAAAAGTCACGTTGCCACGCATCATAGCCTGGAGCATATTCTCCTCTCTTTATCTATGGCAGTACTGGTTGCTGCTTCAGGTTCAGACGTGTGGTTTCAACCTGTAGGCTGCCATGATACCCACACAGTGCAACTAATTGCCTACAAGATTATCTGGCACCACACTATTCATGAAATCAGTCACTACATATGTAATGCCCACTTCCTACACAGTTGTGCACACTTGTTACATAATAGTGATGACATTTCAAAGGAGAGAGCAACCAATATTTGGCTCTGTTTGACAAGCCTTTGTAGATTCCATGCTGCGTGCATTGTAATGCATGTACATAAAATTTGGCTCACAGGATCATTGGCTACATATCAGCAACATTTTTCTGACTATGCTCAAAAAGTTTGCAGGGCCTTTCTAAGAAGGACAAAAAAAGGGAAAGGGGGAAGATAAAGAAGAATGGTAGGCATTGTAATAGTCTGAGATACCAATGAAGATATATTCTGCATATTTGCCAGTGCACCATTAAGATAAATACTGGAACTGTTGATGACAATATGTTTTGCTTACAGCCAAAATTCCACATCAGTTTTAGTCTCTTATGGCCAAAGCTTTCACATATCTTGAGTACAACCAGAAATGCTCTTGAGTAAATAAATTAAAAATACACAGCATCAAAACAACTGACACTATTGCTGGAAAAGCCTATAACCTCATTAATATTACAAGTGCAAATATAGACTGTTGGTGTCAATAAAAACAACTTCTGAAACAAACATGTTTTGATGAACCCAGGCTCTTACTTTCAGAGTAATCTCTCTTGAGATATCGTAGCTAAGCACATATTCCTCATAACTAAAAAGAGTATTCACTGAACATCTGACCTTCTTTTAGTGAAAAGCCGGTAAAGAAAAATAGTGAAACTCCTTAATTCATACAATTTTCTATTATTACTGCAAGCTAGTTAAATACCAAGTCCTTCACCAGTGCAGTTGTCGTAGGCGGTTAGGGCACGATCTACCTGGCAGAGTCAGCTACCATTCAATAGTGTAAATGATTCTGTAATTATTTACACTCTGAAAGAGAGAAGAAAGCCAGGAATGGAAGTGGAGTGAAATGGTCCCTGATGTTAAAAGACTAAAATGAATGTTGGAAATGGAAGAGAGCTACCACATACTAAAGAATGTGAAAAACCTCCCAGTGCAACATGCACATTCCTTAACTAGTAACTGATGAAAGAAAAAATTACAAATAGCCTAATTATTTTGAAGCCCCAAAATGATGCTTCCCATTCTTTATGCAACAAAAAGATATAAGCCACAGGTTATACTCAGAGCAATAATTTCAGAAAGGAATACACGGCTCTGTGTGGCATCTGGATTCCTCCAAAAGCACCTGATGGCTATAAATCTTGACGCATTCAGAAACCCAGCTTTATGAACGTGGATACAGTTTCTGAGGGTAAATAATAACCTAGGACATTGTGCAGCCAATAGATTTGTTGTAGAAGTTTTAATTTTATTCCCTGCAACAAAAGAATTCTGTGAACTCTTGACATAAGCACAGTGTTGGTGGTAACATATTTCAAGTAAAGGCATTACCGGTAATGCATTACTAATTTCAGTGACATAGTGACATACTTGTTACCATTTTGGAACTGTAATAGGTTACATAGTTACGTTAAGTGCATTAACATTTTTCAGTAATGTGAGGTATCCTGTTCACAGTTTTATTTTCATTCTAATTATAATGAGAGTTAAACAGACAACTCTTTCGTCCTATAGGTGCCACTTTCCCAACCTGCCCTGATTTTCTCCTTTTTCACAAAGAGCTGCTGGCAGCCTGCCAGGTGTTGACGGTAAGAGTACCATTCTATGTATTCGTTGAGCATCTATGTAGCATAGGTGCAAACTTATTCATGAGAAAGTGAGGTAAGTATTTGACAGCTTTGAAATGCAGCAGCTTATTATTCATAAGCTGTAGTAGTAAGAAAGTTGTCCCTGCAATACTCTAGCAATGTTTATTGGCATATTTTCAAAGTAATACTTCCATCTCTCTAACTGCAACTGTGGGTATACATTTCTATTTACTGAATTTCTGAGCTAGGGGTGAAAGTGGGCTTCAGTCTTTCAGAGCAGCTCAGGGAGCAGGAATAATGCTGTTTAGGAGCAGCTTTGCAGTGATAAAAGAAGAGTTTCGGAGCAGCTTTAGAGAATCGAACAGTGGGTTTCGGAGCACTACAAGTTATGTTGAATTCCCATTCCAATGGCAGAGTCGAAGCAGCTGATGGATTCTGTGAGCGAGCACTCAACTCTGGCATAAAGCAACACCTTCGAGTACGCGGCTGGAACACAATCCGCACCACCGAACAAGCAGGAGGATGTGGAAGCCCTTGAGTTGCCCAAAATACCTTGCCTGTAGTTATTCCATCCCACTAATTCCGCTGTTGAATTCTGTCGAATTACCGCTTGTACGTAGTATAGTTTCAGTGTCGGTGACACGATCCGATTAACACTCACGCAGAAACTCAAGCTTTCCAGCTCAGAGCTGTCACAAAATATGCGACAGCGGTGGCGCTACTAAGCGGGCAAACATGTTAAAGAGAGCGTGTCACGTTAAGTTTCAGTGAACTCAGCCTATTTCGGCGGAGCAACTTTTCCAGCTTTTCAGAGTCACTCCTGCTTTGAATCCACTCCACCCCTCTTATTGGAACATTCTCGCTATGACTCTACCATTAGAACACATTTGCTCAAGAAGGAGCAAGAAAATTTGCTTCAACTACGCCACTGGAATTCAACATTAACCCCTTCAGAGGCAGTGTGTACATTTGTATACATCAACTTCGGAGGCGTGCAATGTGTTTCGTATTTCTTCGAATA